TCATGCGAAGAGCTCTTATTACACGTGCAGCCGAAATCGGCAAAATCCAAACACATTGAGACCGCTTGAGTGTTTAACTCAGGCAACTATGAATACAGATCCGGGATGAGGCACGGAAAATACCCACCAGGTTTACGCCTTAAATGACAATGAGCAGGAAATCCAGGGAAAAGGTCCCTCAGCCACCTGCTATTCAAGGACATTCAAGTAGTGATCCGAAGTACACGCAAGGAAGGGGAAAAGAAACGAACACAATACATCTCTAAAGAGGGAAGACTTCACAAGGGTTTAGGAGTATAGAGTGCTTGAAATATGTCATGTTTAATTACCTAACTTTACCTCAGGCACACATTCTTCTAGAATGTAGTTGCCCGCCTTTGTGACCTACGATCGCTTCGAATATCCAGTGATAAACATACAAGTTCATAAGATATGAAAGATAGCATCTAAAAGATTTGTAGCAACAACATCCAGCTTCATCGATGAAAAATACCTGTAAATTGCCGAAAAGATCCCACGCCTGGTCAAGATAGTTTATCCAATGATAATACAACATAAATACGTTTTTATATGTCAATCATATTTTTATATCGCATATTCCTCAATCCCATAATACAAGAAGTTAACACAGCAAACAGGTAGTGACAAAACTTTGATTGCATCTTTCAGATACATTTTCCTCAGTCCTCGCCTATTTAAAACAAGGGTATTTTAATTGGTTTAATTCACACTCATCTGAAACATAATGACCCCCTGAATACAATCAAATGAATTAAAAAAAAAACAAAAATAAAAAGAACCGGTCAGCAAATGTATTAATAACTGTCGAAATGTTTATCCTGCATCCACAAAAACACAATCCTGCAAAACTCTTGGTTCATGGATAACATCCTTATAAGCACACAGTAATACAAAATCGAACAGGAACAAGGACACCTACACTAAACAGTTCCTGGATCGCCGTACCGATCAGAACTTTTAACTAATTTTTACTAATGGATCAGAAGCCAGGAAATAACTGGTCTTGTAGTTATCCCAGAAGAATAGGTGTTCAAGCAAGCTATCCACCTAACTATTCTTCGGTTTTCACGGCAAAAGGCTATTGCTATTCTGGAAGCTATAAAAACAGCAGATGGAACATAAGGAAAGTTACGTTTCCATAAACCTTTTCTCGACGTTGAAAGCAATACAATTTATTAATAGCAACCTTTATAAATATCTGAGGTCCGGGGCTCACTCATCAAACACACTCCATACATTTTTATGGGCACCCATCCACGTACCTAAAAGTGTTCTTTTGAACATCATCACATTTTGGCGGGTCACACGAATATGGCTTCTCTAAACCAATAAACTTTCGATGCCCATTATGCACTACCGGTCGACATATCGACTCCACTCAGCTCTGAAAAGTAAAATGATATCAAACTGCTAAATAAACCTCTTAATAAACCATACTTTTCAAAATCTGCAGGATATAACAAATAGCCAATTTACTGCATTTCATTAATGTGGCTAATTGGTAAACTAAACTAATTAACTGTTTAATTAAATTAAACCAACTGTTTACTACTTCGTTTTATTACATTTCGATATTGTTTTTCCTAATCATTAGATCGAAGGAGTAATTTTGAACTCAATTTGAACAAAGCCTAAAACCTTTTTTAGCCCCAAAGAGTGGTTACCTGATTACATAAGGCAGATTAAAAGATTATATATGTAGACTAGGCTACAAGCGACTTATATGGAGCCAGGATAAACATTGAAAACTGTCTTTTATAGTTTCAACTTGATCTGATTGGAATTCGCGTCGGGGAATCCCTGTTAGCCCGTGTGGACACACTTAACAAAGGAGAAATCCGCGTCCAGAGGCGCTGCCACTATCTGCTTTTCTTGCCCCCAGGATGCATGTGTGTCAGTGGGTCCAGTAAATGTGTGCGTGTGTGTGAATGAACTTCCGCCGCGCTGTGCGCTGTGGTGGTGTTGGTGGTAATGGCGCTGCCATCGTTTCCGGTGCGCTAGCTTAGATGATGCCCCAGCTAAGCAGTGGGCACAGCACGTGACGGGAGATCAAGGATGCGGATGGGGATGGGGATGGGAATGGAGACGATGATGGAACCCAGATGCTGAGTCTCCGAGCTTGGATTCCTTGGCATCCCTCATCGCAGCTCCACGGGCGATGGCGTTTATTAAGCGCATATAATCGTAAAAAAATTAGCTTGTATGAAATACGCAGTGAAACTTGCGTTTAGTTGGCAGGAGGGATAGGAGTGCTGTACTTAAAATGCAAATGACATAAGGCGTACTGTCTGCCCTTCCAGGGAGTCGAGTCATCGCCTTGGACCCATCCACTCTTTGCCGGAAATTCACTTAAGCCTGTTTTGCTTTATTCTCGTCATAATTTGAAATAATGTCGCAGCTTGGGGCGCAGAATGCTTTGTTTAACTAGTTTGGCAGGAGCGAAGCAAATTCTCGTCATTAAGAAAGGCTTGGCAATCCATTAGGACTGTAGCCTCAATTAGAGGTACGGCCTTCGATTCAGCTTACAACACTTTGTAAAGAAGGAAGCCCTTAGAATGCTGAGCCTTACGAAAATATCACCATGGGTAGGTTGTGTTGGATATAGTAGGCAATCCTCTATTTATCCAACATGGAACCTGCATTTTTGTAAGCCGGATTGAATAAGAATGCCTCCAGTTCTTGGCACAGCTCGCGAACATACAACAAAATCAATATCCGCCTGGAGCTGACATTCGCTACCTGCATTTCATTTCCGCCTGTCGACAGGACACATCCTCATATGCAGATTTACGTGTCCTTGGTGGCCCTTTTCCTGCAGCTTCAGTTCTTTAGTCGCCGAAAGCTGCAGGATGTTGCCCCAAATTGGAAAAAAGGGATCTAAGGATAGTTCCTTTGGCATTCCCTTTTCCGGACCTTTTTCTGTCCTTGCTTTTATTACTCGCTGAGAAGCTGAGACTACAAGGCCGTTATTAAATTGGCTAGAATTTGTAACGCTTGATATACAACGAAGCTGGTCGAAAAACAACTGTAGCAAGTGGCTATGCCAACAATAAATACCCTGTAACATTTTAGTGGCACGTCGCATAAAAAGCTAAGGTGTGACTTAAACAAAAGCCACCAAATGGTCGGAAGTCGAATTCGCACTCCTACTCGGAAAAGTCGGAACTCTTGGGGCGAACAGTTTGCCAGAGCCTGTCAGCATAAAGACCGCAGCAAATTTTCGAGTGGGGAGAAGGCTAAAAGCATTACATTACACACAGCTCAAATATATACACAATAACTGGGCTACAATTGTCTGGCATCGAAGCCGCGGCTGGGAATGAGCACGGGGATGGGGATGTGGCCTAAGCCTTGGAGTGGAAAGTTTTCAATTGCCATGATTTGTGCCTCGGGCCACGGCACGCCCACCAACCTCGGCCTAAACAGCCACATCCACATCCACCTCAGCCGCAGGCACTTGTGCTCTACGTACTTCGACCTTCGCCGAGAGCGTATCAATGAACTGGGCCACGGGGTGTATGAATTGGGTCCTGAGATCGGAGACAAAAGGCCACCAATCCGCGCCAAGTGCCATAACATGCCCGACCAAATGTGTTGTTTTCCAAATTCAATTTACTCCGGCCTCCAAAATCTAATCAAAGTGCTAGCCTGCAGGGCTGCCGTCATGAATGAAGGTTCGATGAGAGAATAGCTTCCCTATTTACGAGGAATATGCAAAAGTACAGCCGGGTTTGTGTTACTGACAATTGAGTCGGCAGCTCCATCCTGGGATAGAAATTTGAGTCAACTTAAGGCCATGCAGATGAGGGGCTTGATACCATAGGGTATCGACTATTCGACCTTGAGCGCTCACCCTCGAAAACGCTAAGCAACGGTTTTCCCGTATGGGCGCCGCTTAAGACGCTCTCACTCATATCTGATCAAATCAAATCCGCCGGCGCGGCATCTGTGCTCCTGGCATGCCCACAATAGCCCACAATACGGCTCCAGTTAGTTGTGGGCGTCGCCTCGATGACGCGTGATTTGCGGGAAGGTGACTAGGCAGGGATGCGACGAAGGCTGGTGCTGATTCTTATGGAGATGTGGGCTATAAATATGGCGAAGGCTAGGGCTGTCTGGCATTTTTAGCACCCTGGCACCAAGCTCATCGCTCCGAGCGATTTTGTGGTTATTAAATTTATTAAGTTTCCCTGCTCCGAGTGATGATGGATGAAGCTGTTGGCAGATGTCTAACTAATTAAGAGTAGGCCCGAAATTCTGTTGCTGACTAAACGCTTTTCTGCAATTTAAACTGGCTTTAACAAGCATTTAAGACGCAGAAGTGGCGTTAATCAAAGCCCAAACTCGTTTTCCAAAACTTTTCTAATTATAAATCTGTTCTCGTGAAATTTATAAGCGGTCCACCCAAAACGAGAAATACTGGGGACAGGGAACAGAATTGGAAAGCACTTTTCACGCCCCACTTGCTGTTATCCTCGAATTCAAAAAATAGGCAGTACAAATTGGCGCCCTTGGCAAAAGCGAGAGCCAGAAATCAACTTCCGTTATGTAGCGGAAGTGAAATGTGAAATTTGAAATTTATTATTGGCAATGCAAAGAGACCCCAAGGAGCATCACGCAAAAAAAACCAGAAGGCGAAGGGCGGGGCCCCAAACAATATTTATGTTTTTAAACTGAAATCAATGTGCAATATCCGCTGGCGACTCAATAAATTTAGTCAGCCGAATTCGAGCTGCTTGACTCGGAATCATTGTGCGATTTTTTCCGTCAATTTTGCCATTGATTTTATGCCTTTGATTTGTTTTCATTTCTGTTCAGCTTTCCGATTAATGGAAAACGCCACTTAAATTATAATTTTACGACCCATCTTGCGAAGTCCTGCGGGAAATAGCTATGATAAAGATAAGAGCCAAATTTATAAAGCTTGCCTTATCAGTTTTTAGATACCAATTAATTTTATAACCGTTCTGCTCTTTCAGGAAATACAAACTAACCATCCAGCACTATCACAAAACTGCATATCTAATTTCAAACTCTGCTGCCTGGCTTCACTTTCGCTCCTATCCAACGAGTCCTTCCTCCCAACCGATCAACAAAATCCGGCAAGCTGGCGTCGTTCAAGCAGAAGGATAACAAGAACACCATAAGCAATTACAACAACAATATAATGTGGAGTAGTACTATATCGCCAACCAACTCTAAGAAACTCTTGATCGGAAGCACACGAAGCGTTGATTATGTCGGTGATAGTGCGAGGACAGCAGCAGGCAATATCAAAACAGGAGCAGCAGCAGCCGCAGGAGCCAAAGGAACAAAAGCCAAAGCCACCGCCATCGCAGTCACAACCCCCACAACCAAGATCTCAATCGAAATGGAGCTCCACATACAGAATAAGTGCATCTCGGCATAGCGCATCACTCTGGAGGGTGGTGCGGAGCCGCCATGGCTGCAGGGCCCCCTTAAAGCCGCGTTTTTGGGGGCTACTGGGGTCGGCAAAACAAGCATACTACAGGTGAGTCCAACCTACATATGTACGAGCAAAGACACTGGAATAATATTTATTTATATGTATTTACTTATATATTTATAATGATAATTATTCTATATAGTTATTTCCCTCACCTAAAAGCAAAGGCTTTCAAGATAATGTGCGTTTCTTTCTGAGTGCACAAGCTGCATAATTAAAAATGATTAAATACGATTAAATATTATTCACGTAGAAGCCAATCCACAAGTCAGATTGCGATTAACAATTGGGAGCAGCTTTGCGAACTGACATCGGGTAGAACCCAAAAGTTATTGTTATTTCTTATTTCAATATCCTTATCCAATATTATTCTTATTTCAATATGTTGTCCTTATTTCAATAGCTGTCAAAACAAACATTGCTTCCAAACTGTGGCAATTAATATGGAAATCCAATGTTAATTTGACTGTTTCCTATTTGCAATTAAAACGTTGGTCGAATCCCATCCAATCATCGCGTAGATGGCAGCTTGTTGACCGCTCGTATTAATCAGTTGCTCAACAATAAATTGCATTTTCAATTAGCAGAATTCCCGATTTAAGTGTCCCCCACGCAAGCAAAACGTTAAATTGCGAGGGGATGCATGGAGTGCAACGCTGCACTTTTGATGCCCCAACTTGGCTTTAAATTATTAATGGCCCACGGGCGACCCCGTGCAAAGCTGAATGCTGAAAGCTGAAAAGTTTGGGGCAAACTTTTTAATAGACCATCCCACGACAGCTGGCCCTCATCGGCGATGTTTAGCGCACCATCTACCTACATTGCCACCTCCATCCCATCCAGGATTCGCATCCTCACATCGTCTCCTCCCCTCCCGGTCCTCTAATGGCATTTGTGTGCGTGTGGGAGTCCCGTTAATTTGATTTGCGATTCGCATCGCATAGTATCTTTTGTGGCTTATCTTTTGTAATTAGACAATGGCAAGCCACAGAGCTTGAATGCCTCACATGTGTTTACCGTGGCTGCCTGCTGCTGTGGGGGTCCATCAGCAATTATGGTCACTGTGGCACCAAGGAGAAGAGTTCATTGGATTTCATGACTCGAAAAGTCAAAATCAACAGAATCTATCTGTTAACTTATATTCAAAAGTTTAATCAAGTACTGTCCATTTCTCAATCTTTTTATATTTATATGCTGTACTGTCAATGGAAAAAGTCAAATTCGTTACCATATGGGGAAAATATTTATTAGGTTTTTTTTTATTAGAAAACTGAGAAATTAAGTTGTTTCTTTTTTTTACCATTATTATGACCAGTAAATATCGTTACTCAGCTAATGGAGTGCGAGAGAGAGAGTGCGATGAGCACCACAGCGAGTGGTGTAGCAAGCAGAAATTGAATGCCTCGCCTTACAGTATGAAGACGGCTCTCGCCAATGAGCTTTTAATAACTTTTGACCAAAGACACTAGAATAATTATTCTAATAACTAGAATTTAGCTCAATCTCAGTTTCAATTTAACGTATGTAGTTCCCACGAAAACGAAACGCCTTATGCTACCGTCTTTCTGGTTTCTACGAGTAGGGGTACAAATGGTTTTGGATAGTTGGACTACCAAACAATCTGTCAGTTTTAATTACATTTTCTAAACAAAAAATTAAAGATTTATTTGAAAAAATACAACTTTAATTAAGCTGCAACAGTAAACAAAAAGTTTTTCAATTAAACTCAGAAAAGTAAAATAAATTCGATTCTGTATACCTTTTGCTTAGTGACAGTCTCGATGATTACCCTTTCATAATTCAATTTGTTTTGATAAATAACTAGAAAATTTTCGATTTTCCCACTTAAGTGCCTAGGCTTTTAAAACAATATTTAAAAAAGGTTAAAGCAGCATATTTCAAAATGTCGAATATACAATTTGCTTGAAATGCAATCTTTTTCTAAGTCACTAGGATTTTGGCACGCCAGGGGGAAAAGAGTATTATCCTAGTTGTGAAAAACGGTCCGTATTCCGGCCACGGCCGACCTCCACGCCCTCGCTTTTCACCTCTCGCTTGGTAAATTCAATTAACTGCAGTTGGCAGTTGCGAGTTGGCCGCTTTGCCATTTGCTTTCCGCTTTTCCGCTACGTGGTCCATTATTTTCCATTCTGCGTTTAATTTCCACGACTGCGATTGGGAGCATGTATGCATCAGCTTTTAGGATCGCTTTTCCGAACTGCTTGCTCAATTCCCGTTGGGTGCCTTTTATTGCTTGTAATGCGAGATTTGTGCATTTTTATGGCATTTTAAGCACTGCAAAATCAATTACGCCCTGTTTAATGGCCGTTTGCGGTCAAGCTGGCCAAGAAAATCCTTTTCGGAATGAGACGATGTTAATCTCGCACACCAGGCATCCGAAATGTTTATAGACTCGTGAATGTAATAGCCGCGTAAAAAAAACGCGAAATCAAATAACGTAATTGTTCCAACAGGATAACGCGAATCGAGAAACGGAAGGGATTTTACCATTAAAATACTTCTTAAATATCTCGAAATATAATTACCTACATAAGAAATGTAAAAAAATACCTTATTTAACACTGCACGGATTGTTGCTTATTTATAAACAAATATATATATTTAGATATTCAATTTAGAAAGAACAAGAACTTAAACTTATACATATTTCTCCCTGGCTTACAAGGGAGCAATAAAACGCAGTCATATTAATAAAGCGTGCGCCATGAATATCTATTAGAGTACATTTAGAAAAGCAGCTAGGATCCCGGCGAGCTTATTTATGTGGCAGATAATGTACCGTTTTTTATGAGGCAGCAAGGAGGCAGCATAAAGGACGGAAAGCTACGAAGCCCCAACGACCTTAGCAGCTTGGAGCAAGGTGCACGGTGCACGGAGCACGGAGCACGGAGCACGAAGCTCAAAACTGGGACATGGAAACGGGCCAGGAGACCACAGAGCCAACATCAATGTCATTTCTTATTCAATTACCAGTTCAATGAAAATAAGAGTCAATGATATGCGGCGTTGACACATAAAAGCGACGCGATGCGAATCGAATCGATGTCTGACCCCTTTGCCACGCCCCCGCCTCCGTGTTCAGGAGGTGAATTGCCCGTCTGTGCAGCGTATGATTTGAAAAAACACAAGGTAGAAAGCTATAGTCGAGTTCCACGACTATCAGATACCGGTAGTTCAGCAAATGGAAATGCTGACGCGAAATTTTAACATTTTTCTTGCATATCGGTAGAAATTGGGGAAAATCATAATAAAATGGAAAAAAAAAACTTTTAAAAAAAAGTCGAAAAATTGTTTGGCAAATCGATGGAAATTTGCAAGACTAAAGCGACGCAAACGTGTTACATACTTTTCAAGGAATCTAACATACCCGTTTTGGGCCAGCCAGCCGTGGCATCTTCCTAACGCAGCCACTTCCGCTTCCGGTGACCTTGCTGCCTTGCTGCCTTGCTGCTTCCTTTTCGGTGCCCATAATTGAATATAGTGCGCATAAATTGCATCTGATTTAATTGCAGCGACAACAATGGGTGTGCTGATTGGCAGAAGATAATTTGCATTTTTATTAGACGAGCGGGGATCGCTCTCTTTTATTGACTTTCCTATTAGCCACCCCTTGAACAGTAGCACCGAGAAACACTTTTCATAAGTTTATCATTCAAGGGTTTTCGAGAAACCTATGAATTTCCATTCTACAAATTCCTCAAATTTTTTTTTTATTGATTTTTTTATGGCTTCTTGAAGCGGCAAGGCATCACTTTAAAGTGAAATCAGGCGTTGAATATCTTAACGCTCCTCATGCATTGATACCCATTGCCAGTCCCAAGCATCCCCAGGCCCATTTTCCCATTGTGACATTTCCCCGCTTTCATTATTAAATGTCTTTACAAACTGTATTTTATGTGTCCGATGGCCTTGGCTTTATTTTAAAACTCTGCGATTCGCCTTCGCAACTCCGAATCCCAGATAAAGACCCAATAAGAGAGTAAGTAAAAGAAAAGGCCGCGGGTAAGGGTCATTACGACAACGGCGCCAAGTGAAATCCAAAAAAAGTCTAAAAGTCCTTCCTGGGGATGGCGACACTGAGCATTAGGTAACTAAAAATGTATTAACAAGTTAAAGCGTGAACTTGATTGAAAAAAATTTGGAATATGTATATAGAAAAACAAGATAGATCGCTATAGTCGAGTTCTCCGAAACAACAAACTTGCTCTGCGTTTATGTCCCTAGAATCTTCAATTTTCTAGCTGTTTTAGTTCCTGAGTTATCGACGTTCATACGGACGGACAGACAGACGAACATAAACAGAATATATATACTTTATATGGTCGGAAGCGCTTCCTTCTATATGTTACATAATTTTCAAGTATCCCCTTTTACTCTACGAGTAACGGGTATAAACAAAAGTAAGACTTCGGAAAGCCGAATTATATATACAGCTATATGACCATAGACTGATGTATACTGAAATCTAACATCTTAAGATAAAATGTAATTTTATTTCTTACCGTTACGGCCCCTTCGACTTATAAACTACCTGCAATATCATGAAGACTTTTGGGAAATTTTCATGCAGATAGCTTAAAAACTGAAAATTCAGTTTGCGCAGAAAGGGACAGACGGACATGGCAGTATCCAATGTAAAAATGATTAAGAAATGATTAAGAATCTATTACTTTATGCAAAGGTATAATGGATGTAAACGCAGGCTGTGTCTGCTTGCTACATCACTCATATGATGTAGCCAGCCAGCATATCTCTCTCTCGCTCCTTTAACGGCTGAGTAACGGGTATCAAAAAGTCGCATATTAAATCTAAACAGGGTATACTCCAGTTAAGAAGAATATAGTATCCTATACTATATACTATATCCTATATGTATATATATGTATATAAAAATATATATCCTATAGTATAACTATAAAAACAGTAATAGTATATAAATAAATGAGTTATGATTGTATAGTATTAAAACTAAATTAAAATGTAGTATCTGTCTGCAATATAACAATATAACAATTTAATTATTTTCATTTATATTTCAAGAATATCTTTAGCTGGCCTAAAGCCTTGTTTAATTACACTTCTCTAAGCTCTACCCTACGCTTCGATGGACACACAGCTCATACACCCATTACCATTGCTGTTTATTTCCCGTTTTAAGTACTTTTTATGATTACGTTGGAGAACGTAAAATCCGAAGCATACATTTAAGCGCTTACAATTTTAATAAGCTAGAAATGTCCATGAAAATATGTGGCTGTTTTTGTGAGTTTTGCCGGCCAAAGGACCTCATGCAAAAGCTCATGGCGCATATTTAAAATGTTTGCTCGGCATAGAGAACAGATAAGCAAGAATCGCGTACAGTGCAAGGAAAACTTTATGGAGTAAAACGATTTGGCGAAGTGCTATTAATTTGTAATTTTAATTTCTAATAATGTAGTAATAAATATTTTATATTAATAATTATATTTAACTTTCATGCTTAACTGACTCCGCTCTTTCGTGCTTATTTACAGCAATTTTTCTACCATGACTTTCCCAGGACTCATCAGACGACAACTCATCGCAAGATTTACAAAAACTGTCTGGTCTGCGACACCTGCATTCGGGAGCTGATGGTACTGGACGTTCCTCCCCAGGTGAGTTAGCAGCTGCCACCTGGCAGCCCCATATCTGCCATAAATCCATCCCAGCCACAGCCCTTGCCACAATTTCCAACTTTCCATAATTTAGTTAAAAGTTTCTCCACTGTCACAGCGTGGCTGTGGTGAGGAATTTTCTAAAAATATGTACAAACTATTTTTATGCAATTTTCCGGTAAATTTCATGCTGCTGATATATTAGAAAATGCTCCCCCTGGCCATAATAAATTGCTAAGTAATCTAAATTGCCCCAGAGACCCACAGCCATTTGCAATTTTCCGGCTTTCCTCGCCCAGTGGAAATATTAACCCGAGTACGATTTAACTCCTACTGCCTACTGTTGTCTAGATGCTCAAACTTACAACCACCAAGAGCCTTATCGTAAAAGATGTGCTGAAAATTTGGGAGGATAATATAGACATTTTACGGGAAATGCAAAATGAAATTAAATGAAATGAAATTAGACACGGGAATGTCTAACGAATCAACTGCAAAGCTTTTCAGTCTGAACATGCAATTTAATTGATTATATTTTATTAATTTAGTAGCGATCTTAAAATGAAAACATGAATTTGAAGCAGAGACTAAAATTTATTTTTCTAAGCCAATTAATACTTTTAAAGAGAGAAGGACTTTAATCTAAAGCTCTCAGCCCAGCGACGTGGTCAAATTTTATGCCAAAGGGTTTTAGTACTTTAGATGTTCTATGGCTCAACGCGATTCCAAAAGTTTCCTCTCTTAAAATGTATTTAAAAATATTGTGAAAGCCCCTATGAATTTTCCTGTAATAGCCAACAGAGAGTATTCAGGTGCATGGCGGTCAGCGTTACGATATCTGTTTATTATCAATTTTTAACTGCTTTGTGGCGAAACTAGCCCTGAACAACAATATTACCAAATTACCATAAGGACCGGCCCTATGTCAATATTTTCGTCCATTTATGTGGCAATTGCAGTTGCCCAAGTAAAATTACCCAAAGTTGGGTTCCCCATATCTCCGTTCATACTTGCAACGTCCATTTGGTTGCTTCCATGAGTTGGCAGAGGACTTTGGCAATTAGGGAGTAGTTTTGCATGCCACAAATCGCAAACTGACAACGAAAATGGGCGAAATGATTTCACACCAACGCCGTGAACTGCCTTACATATCACTACCAGGACATCCCTGTACCACCAGTTTTTGTTCTTCGGTCTGCCACGTTTAACTATCATAAAATATTTATGGAACACACACCGAACAAGGCCAGTTGCTGTTTGACTTCCCCCCAGGGCCTTCTAGGATATGCAAAGCACGAGCTCCCAAGTAAGAAGAGGATTTCTTTGGGATTACTAATAGTATCTTTACTTTAAGAAGTGCACTTTATAGAGGCCAGGTACTCAAGCTGGTTATTATAAGTATGCTTTTTCAATTGGGCGGAAAACCTGCGTTGGAAATCAAGGTAATCCTTGGCCTAGCTTTTAATATTAATCAGGTAATTACCTATTTTTAGGGCCTAGTTGAATGGAATCTCTACACTTGCTATCGATCCAGTTAATATGGCCTGTTCCTTTGCATATGTATCTACCTACATACGAGTACATCCCTTTGTGCCGCGGCTGAATAAATTTGGGGCAGTCGTGGATCTAGGAAATCGAGAACTGGGCCAAGTGTGTGCTGAGCTGACAAAGTCGCCAAAAGATATGGCCCGGGGAGGATTCTGTGGCAACGCCATGGATACCCAATCCGCATTCCCCCAGATTCGCGGATGCAGGGGACGAGAAGCGGGCGGAATTGAAATGGCAAGCGGAGCAAAAGAGTTGACAAGCAAGCGTCGGGCAGCCAGCCAACCGCATCCATTGTCATAATAACTACGTGCCGAGCGACCCATACCGCCCGCCCCCTTTTCGACAGTTCGCCAGCGCCGCCCATGCCGCCCATGCCGCCCATGCCGCCACTCGATGCTTTTCAACTTATTCATGTCCATTTTGGCGTGAATTTGTTTTCGAGCAGAGCTTTTTTGCCCCCCTTTGTTACACTCTTTGTTGTTCATCCATTGTGCTGACCAAATGGCTGACTGTTGTCTAAAAGCGGGCCAACAGGGTTTTTTCTGGCCAGGATTGGGGTAGGATGGAGGGGTCCAGGTTGTCCGCAGGTTGGGAGCCTTCACTTCGCTGTCGCCTGTTTATTGTGCGGAATTTTTCATCGCCAAGTGCACTGCCTGGCAGTCATAACTCAAAGTCCACCTTAATGGTTTCCACTTGTACAAACAACATTTATTTTCCAACGGATTCCCGCTCATATTCACCAGAGCCAGTGGAGAACAGGTGATTTGGCTCTGTGTGGCTGTGCGAAGTGGGGGCCATTTGGTTGGTCATTGTTTCCTTCGCTGCTCAAAGCCACTCGAGATGACAATCTGGGGAAGACGGCTCACAGGCCTATGGGAATCAGTAGGGGAGGCCCAAACTTGATGAATTATATTGCATGATGTTATAGTTAATATCGAGTCCATGATATACTGAGTCTGTTAGTGAAGTCATTAGGAATGGTCGTTATGGTCGTTACATCGTTACATTATATACTAACATGTATACTTACATGTATACTAAACTAGAACTCTTTAAAATATTAACAAGGGAGATTACTATAGTCGAGTTCGCCGACTATCGGCTACCCGTTACTCAGCTAGTGAAAGTGCGAACGAGAAATTTTAGCATTTTCTGGAATATCGCTAGAAATTGGTAAAAAAAAAATAATAAAATGAAAAAACTTTAAAATTTATTTAAAGTGTAGGCGTGGCAGTTTGGCCGGCTTGTGGGCGGATATATATTATATACATTATATGGTCGGAAACGCTTTTATGTTACATAAAAACTTTAAAAAATATTACATGTGTTTTTATGAATCCTACTTGTGGCTGGAGAAGAAAAAGAATATCCAATGCATATTGTTCAGACATGCAACAATAAATAACTTGATATACCTAATACAATAAAACATACGTATACTTCTTAAAATTTCTCGCACCTTTGGAAAACTCTACAGCTAATGGAGTAGCTCAAGTCTAAATACCTACAAAAAGGTTATAAAAGGCAATATTCTTTACCCATAGTGTTAAAACATAAATCTGGGAAAACATCGATGTCACTATCGATACTATCGGTGAAGAGCATTTCCTCGCTTTTATTAAATTATATAATATTTTATATTTTTTATATTGATATATTTTTCTAAGATTGCAATTTTGTATGTAACAATAGTATTGTGATAGTATCGTTGGCCTTTGAAAACATCCATGACGCTGTTTGACACTGTTCACATCACACTAAATTCTAGTAACTAGAATCAAAGCGAATCCCATAGAATCCCATTTGAGCAGGCAAATTACGAGAAATCTTCTATATCCTTCATTATTTCCGTCTCTTTGTATTTCGGACCAAACGTCCATAGTTTTAGGGCAAATTGTTTAAAGGCTTAGAGAATTTTTTTTTTAACAATCCACGGCGATGTGCCATTATTTTTAGTGTAGGTGCGATAAAAAAAAACTTTGTCTTGCACTATAGGTGAGCAGCTATTAATGTATGCCGAATTTTTCTTAAAAGTACATAATTATGCGAGTAGTTTGTGTAATTTAAATAATAGACTTGAAAAAAAAGATCTAAATACTACAATCTAGACATATTTTATTTTAGGATAAAAAATACGTTATTAAATGCCTATGTTTATATTAAACCAATTACATATCTTGACTCCTACTCTCGTTTGTTTAATTATGCATATTACAATACTAGCTGCAATTTTCAATTTTATATATTTTTAATGCGGTTGTACGATATGCTTTACTTAAAGGTATATAACCGATAGAAAGTCTCTCCCATTCAGTTATCGAACTCATTATCCAGGTAGTCATTTATTGAACCCCACCATAATCAATCGCACCTGCTGACCCAGATATTCTGACTGATAAGAGCCAGGCAAGGGGGTCGCCAGCCAGACGGGAGCTCAGCTTACTAGCCTGGTGCCCTCCAAGTCCCTCATGTGTCCCAGCCATCGTGGATCGAAGCCAAGAGAGCAACCGAGTGGCAGTTACAGTTACAGCAATTGCAACTGGGCCAGCAGACGTCGAGAATCCTGGCTAAAGAGCTGCTCGCATTTCAAGCCTGCTCCCAAGGCACCCCGTTAATTAACAAAGCAACAATAATCACAATGGACCGAGGAGCGGAGGAGCGGAGGAAGCGCAAATTAAATGAAATTTAATCAAAAACGTAAATCTAGCTATGTAACTTACCGCGCGAAGGGAGTGGCGTCGACTGTCTGCCCGCCGGAGTGACACACCATCCGCACCCAGGAGGTCGCGAAGGGGATGAACCGAGGAGCTTGGAGCTGGAGAGCTTGAAAACTGACAGGCCAAAGGACCAGACGTAAAGGCGCCAAGGAATGCGGACCCAAAGCTGCCCAACCGTGCACAGGGTCGGGAATCGAGATAAGGAATCTAAGTGGTGACTGATACGCCTTAAAAATAAGCTAACCTACAAGCGTTCACTCCATTTATTTTGAGGCACTGGGTACAGCAATTTAAATTCGTGCCCAATGATCGTATACGTATAAATGTTACATACTTCCTTTGGTAAATGTAACTAAAATAAAAGTATATTGTGAGAATTCTGACCTTATATTCCTGCGAGCACAGATAGAAAGCAGCTAGGCAGTCATCACTAGATGTTCGCGGATTGCTCCTCCGAAATGTCTGGACGGCTGTTTTCGTCTAGGCGGCCGTTGACTTTTGTTTGCGTCTAAAACGCTGCGACGTAAATTTAATTATATCGTTTACTTACTGTCTTCCCACCTCCCAAATCCTGGTCATTAGTGCCCGGAGTGGAAAATGTGGCCACCTGCCTGCGGTGGAAACTGCCTGCTGATTTGCGATGCGAGGCCTCCGCGCGCTAAAGGATCAGCAGTTTGGCAGCTGCTCAGGGATTTGTTTATGGCTGCCGAATAAAAATAAACTTTTAAAAATATAAGCAATATCCCGGGCAGCTTCCGTGAAATTTTATTTCTGCTTTGTATTCCAAAGGGACCTATCAGTTAGTTAGGTGTTGTGCGCATCTACATATCTTTCTTAAACAAGATTAGGTTGGTGATAGATTACTCAGTACTAGATGCATATACATATACTTGACTATTGCGTATATTTATTAATCAGAATAGCTAACATATAACCAGATTTCACAAGATTTATTAATCAAAGCGTCCGAGTTATTTTACATTGAACCAAATTACCTCAATCCTAAAGAACAATTCCATAACCAACGCATTTTAATGCACCAATTGGACAATAAATATTTACTGGCACGCATTATCCTGAGGAGTAACTGCTCCGGCTTTCGGCTACTGTGGGAACAGCTTGGTGCTGCGTCCTTTGAAATTCAGCGGCATTTAATAAATGTGCTAGCTGCTGAATCCGATTAGCGATGCGGCAGTTTCTCGAGCTGAAATACGACTGCTGTGGGTTTCTAAAGATTGCTAAAGCCACAAGAATGGTCAACCAAGTCCTAAATAAATATGATAAAGCGGCGGAAAGTGTGTGCTCAGTGCACTTTTCAGTGAACTTTGCGCCAGACAAATGCGGCTGGAGTCCGACTAAAGTGGATGAATTAATGGCTGAACTTTGGGCAAATTTGTCTCTTGCGAAATAACTTTGAAACTGAATTTGGTGCCAGGTCTTTGTACTAAGTACTATGACGAGTGAATCTACACATTATTGTAACATGCAAAACTGCATTTTTCCTGCTCGAAGGCAACAAAGGCGACAGTGACCCATAGCAAATAATACCTTGTGGTCGGCAGATTGGCATTCCAAAATAAGAAACAGCATCCATCGATTTGCATCCATTTCCATCCATATTTCATGTCATATTGCTGCAAGTTGTGAGCCCCCATTAAATGCCTGAAACGCTTTTCCCAATTCCATATTTGCTTTTCATACACGTGCCAAAATAATGCGAAACGGAAACACAACTCAACCGTGTGGACACATGTGCCTCTTGTTTGTTTGCCCGTTTGTTTGCGGAAATATGCTGATAAAAAACAAACACCCGCCCAATTGGCACGGTAATCGCTTCGCCATCCGCCAGAAGCGATTTCCGGCTGACAACTTCGCCGAGTGGAACAACGGACATCCGCTGGGGCTGCGAACGGTTCACGCCTATGTCTTGGTCTACGACATGGGCAACTTGGAGACCTTTCAAGTGAGACCCGCTCTTCCATACACCCTAACGATATCCCTATCGATCCTCACTTGTTCTCATTCCAGTACTGCCGCTCGATGAGGGATCAGATCTTGGACAGTTTCAGTCATCGTGATTTTAGCATAATTGTGGTCGGCAATAAATTTGACAATGTGACTGAGGCGCAGGCCAACTCGCAGGTGAGTGGACTTGGAAGCCCTAAAATCCCTTAAGCTCATCCAACTTATTTTGGACATCTAGAAGGTACTAAGCTAGAAAGCTGTTAGTCATGGTAATCGTGCGACTTTGATAATAGCCAGAAAGTATATTTCATGCCAACTAATTGCAGACTTTATGATGTTATTGTCAATAATACCTAAATAGATTCAATGACAAACCCCCTTTTTTTTATTATTTCATTTGAAATATATTACTTTCAAAAGATATTATCCGAACTAACAGTTTTCAAAGTCGAAACCAATTTACATTTCTTAGAAGCTTAAATATATTTGCAACTTACACGGTTTTTTCAAAGTAATTTACAATTTGAAGAGCAGCTCTAAAATGCTTGTAAGATAATCATAGTAAAACAATTTTAGGTTTAATTCTTATTGTAAATAGAGATGAATTCGATGGTATTAAGCGATCTCGAATCGTTCGGTAGGTGAATTTCCGTATTTTGAGTGTAAGAAATATTGATACCCAAGATGGACAATCTGTTCCATCGCCAAAGCCATTGAAATTATGTCGCCGAAAGGCCGAAGGACTCGACTATTCACAGTTGGCAGCTATTGGCTTTCAGCAGACTTTCACTCAATATTGAATCCTTTCCATTATCGCACACACACACATCCTGGCGGCGGACTGGCAGGAGCTCAAGGATATTTCCACGCTGGTGCGCAAACATTGGCGCTGCGGCTACGTCGAGTGCTCGGCGCAGTGAGTAATCAATAGCCCCTCTGCCATCCGATATGTGGACTAACGTAACGGGGGCTTCTCTTCTCCGGGCTCTTCCGCAGATATAACTACAAAATCGGAGACGTTTTCCGTGAGCTGATGGGCTGCACCAGCGCGGGAGGAGGCGGCGCCGGCGGAGGCGTGGCCGGGGTCGGTGGCCTGGTTGGCACTGAGTACTCACAATCAACTAGGAATAAAGGACGCTGTACAATACTGTAGCAAAAGTTGCATAAGTTTTATAAGCAAAGGCGCTGATCTGGCGCATTACATCCAAGTGAATTCGTTGCGAGCTGCTGCAGCTGGGACGCGGTGGCGTATACGCAATCTCCAGGGAGGAAGCACAAAGACGACATTGTTGCCCCTCGCCAACGCTTGCTGATGCATATTTTACCATATATTTTTAGTGGCCACACTCCGCACAGCTCCTCCTTTGTTTGCCATTATTACAACCTTTTTCTGGCTGTTTCCATGGACGCTTTTGCTGTGCTCATTTTAATGGCAATGGCAACGCCACACGGAGGACCCGTTTGGCCAGCACCCAGCACCCAGATCCCGATCCTGACGACAGCTTTTGTGCGTCCGCATTTGCAATTCAATGCCGTTAGCTGGCAGGAAGCGTAGTGGCCATGAATATGCAGCGATATCCGCAAAGTGCAGCCACAATTGTCGGCGAAAGTTTGATTCCTTTGCGGCTATTATCATCGTTGTGGTTATTATTTCTGTCGTGGATCGTAAGTAGGCAATTAATCCCACCATAATTTACAATACGTTTTATGTACGAACGAATAACCTTGTTATCAAACCAACTAAAGACGTATAGGAACTAAAGTAGTCGACCTAAGCTATACACATATACTTAAGCATGTATGTATACATTAACGTTGTGATCATTTCAAGAATTAGTTCTTAAGGCACACCGACCCAGAACGTCGGCTAATGTCAAGCGAAGTCAAGTATCCGAATCGGGATTACCACAAATATTTAGCTATAGGACAACATACGAGTAAGAGCCATTTAATAAATAGCCCTAAGTAAACACTTAAAGCGATTGAATGCGGTAAAATCAAACAGTCACAATCATCCCATGAAAATCCTCAACAGGCCTGCTCCATAATCCATAAATATTCTCTGCGCACCAGAGCCACCTTCGAAAATTACTTGAAATTAATTACAATCGGAATCTGACATCAAGATAATGTAATGTCCCATCCCTTAAGCCACAAAGGCCATATGTATAATTTGCCAGTGTTACGAAATCGAGGAGCCGTGATCCAGAAGCCTTAAGAACCCAGAAGCAAATACTTCATAGAACACCTTAGAGTAAAGTAAGATTACAACTTGATCGAAGCGCACAAAACCGAGATTGTGTTACCATCGCATCCTCGAAATTGTCAGACCCCATATTGATGGTCGAAAGCAACATCTGGGCATAGAAGTATCAATATCGCCGATCTATTAGCTAGGTACAGTATCCGCTGGCAATGGCCAAGTTAATAAGGTTCTGTGCTGAGCTACGAAACACGCGCATACCATTCTGATCTCTTTCTTTACCTCAAGAAAACAACTCAAACTACTCAACAGAAAAGCAATCAAGGCTGACTTTGTACATAGAGATTTCAATGGAAGAACTTGGCGAAAAGCTACGAAAACCGACTTTTACAGCAATATAAGTAAGCTCTAACTGATATTCAAGGTAGATAACTGGGCTCACTGCCAGGATTGGTTCCACTCTCAGTTGAGTGCTTGGCTAAGATTCTAAGAATAGCTGAGGTAAAGAGTATCTTGAAATAATTTTACGACATTATTTCAAGGTTAAGCAATGCAAAGTCGATAATAATACGAGGGGACTAGCCCATTATTGTTATACATACATATTATTATTAATATACATTTTGCGGCTCCAAAGGGGAGGGGGTAAGGTTTCAAAGGCCAGAAGAAGGCCTTGTTTTGCGATTTTATTCTGAAAATATGTAAGCTTTAGTTATTCTTCTTGTTAATAAGGTTGCACACGGTTACTTGGTGTATTTTGCCCAAAATACATAAGTAAACACCAGGGCTCCTGGCGCCTCTTCAAAAAATATGGCTTGCGTCAGAATCGTAGGAGATTACAGGATTAGAAAAAATATAAACTTTACGTCGGTAATCACACAGCCCTTTTTTAGATTTTAAATTTTTATATACTTTTTGTGGAATTAAAAAAGTTTGTAAATTTCACAACAATCTGAGGGTTGCCTTTAGTGCAAGGATGTTCAGCGACTTCAGAAATAATAAAAACGCGGGCATCCTTGTAAAAACCCAGCTGGTGGAGCTGCTTCACTCCGATTACTTTTACACAATGTTCTTGAAATATTGAAACACAAATAAATGAAAAACCTTACCCCCTCTTTAATAAAGGATGGGCCGTCTAAACACTAATGATATTAGCAGCTTACAAACCGGGAATTTTCAACCTGCACCCATTACCATACAGATACCAAGTTGAGAAATGTATTTATGACATGTCTCTATCCAAACTGAAAACCCATTCCAAACTTGCATAACTCTTCGCATGTAAGCAACTGAAAGCCCGAAATATACTTATATGACATACCTATATATACACATATTTAAATGTAACGATAATTGTACGAGTTTTGTTCAGGTTTTACCTTGGTTTTCAATTTACGGATTCGTCAAAATGGCTGTTAATTTTTGAGAAATAAATGCTAACGCAAAACAGTTGAGGGAGTTAGCCAAAATGGTTGAGCAAGGACAATTGTTGAATTATTTACATTCAAGCAACGCGATGCGACAGTTTAAGAACAGGAGAATGTAGTGTAGCAAATAAATAAAACATATATTACGAATCAAATGCTTCAGCCGCTTGTTGTTTGTTCATGCCATTCAAACGTAATTAATTTTAAGTGAAGCCGCTAGGTTTAGATAAGTATTACCAATGCGTAAGCCGCTCATGATCTCTGTTATTTTTTTTATAATAAAAGGCATGACGCAATTGCAAGTAGAAACAAATTGTTAATTGGACAGAATAGCAAGAGAAACGCACCGAACAAAATGTTAAGCAATCGAGTATAAAATGCCGCCGGAAACGGAAGCTGACAAATTGTACTTAGTGTAGAACGCACAACGATGGTGTAAGTTCGACGACAACCGTTAGCAAAGTAGAGAACGTTTTTGGAAAATGCGCTCCGGCGCTGATAATAAAAAAAGTGATATATAAAAATTAAAATCGCTGCACTTTTAATTACTTGGGCAGGGGACAAATCTACACAGCTTATCAACACGATCGATAGAGATTTAAAACTGGTTTGTGAAAGCACCAAAAACAAAACAAGTGGAATGTTTCCTTGATTTTTATTAAGTTTATCCTTAATCCTTAGATTTTATCCTTAGATGTTTGTTAGATAACTCAAAGTTAAAAAAATAAAGTGGCTTATTCATTTTAAAACAACAGATAACAGAAAAAAGTGCTTATTTCAGAATACTGCTACTCCCCTCTATAACAAGTATACGATTAATTAATTAGTGGCTTATTACGTATTTGATTTATACAAGACATTTTAGCGACTCAACCAATTTCATTACTTCAGACAATGCTTGTATACGGCGATTGCTTCAAGAAAAGCCAAGCGACAGCCACTACCACTATCTCTATGAGCAATTAGAAAACATTTCATTTATATTTTTTTGACATTTTTATTTTTCTCCTATCAAACTACGACTAAAAACCAACTCTCGCATTGGTTGGTTGGCTACATGGGTAGAAACGAAGTAAGACAAACAATTTAGCATCGTAAGTCATAAACTTAAGCTAACGACTGTTTTGGAGTACATCCTTAGTGTATGTATAATTCCTAGGGTTAAGTCTTAAAAACAAAAGGACAATTTGTTGGTAATCTGCGACGCTCAAGTGTAAAGGTAGACGTAATACAAGACTTATTGAATCTAGTGTTGCCGTTGATGACTCTTCGACTTTTTCGGGTCGAGGTCAGCGAATGAGGCATAGCCAGGTGAGGAATAAACGATGGCGACTGATGACTTACACGCGAAATGCTAATAAGTGACTGAGTTTGGAGCTGACAGAATGGGTGTCTAAGCTCATGGTCAATAGGGTCTAATCTATCATTGATGCGGCTCGCTGGAGCTGCTGAAGGTGCGGCTGCGACTCAAGCGCCTGGCCCGCTCCGCCAGTTCCGCCTGCTCGCTGCGTCCTTCCGACAGGAAATGAGGTAGCTGCAGGATGTTGCACAGCTGGCTTTTCAGTTGCTTGGTCTGCGGGCGCTGCTCTGGTTGGGCGGATAGCATTTGTTGGAGCAAGTCGTACTGCTTCGGGTGATTGACAGCGAAATCCTTGGGATACTGGCCGTCCCGAAGACTGCGCAGCGTCTTGATCCGCTCCATTTCAGTGCTGAAGTACACGTGTAGCTCGAAGAAGATCAGTCCCAGTGAATAGATGTCAACCTTGTAGTCGTAGTGCTGGCCCAAAAGCTGCTCCGGCGACATGTATAAGTGGGTGCCCACCTGCTGGGTGTGGCGGGCACAGGAAGGCAGGCCACTCTGGTCCCCACACTTGGCCACTAGGTTGGGAATATCGGCCATATCAGTGACGAGCCCGAAGTCTCCAATCTTTATCTGCCCATCTTGCGAAAAGAATATGTTGCTTGGTTTCAGGTCCCGATGAATTAGCCCCTTTAAATGTACATAGTCAACGGCATCAACGATCTGATGAAAAATGTCAGCAATGTGGGAGGCCCTAGCTTCCGAACGGTTGTCCCTTAGCCAGTCGCGCAGACTCTCCTTACGGCAAAGCTGCATCTGGATGTAGAGGTACACCTTGCTGGGCTTAACCATCGTTCCGTTCAGTACCGTTGCACTGGAGGGCGTCGGATGGCTTCCGTTTTGGTTGTGATTGTGGTTCTGGGCCAGTGCCAAGGTAAGCGGCTTCCTTTTAGCTTTGTTATCGTCATCCGCATCGTCACTTCCACTGCTCTTGGGGCGCACAGATTCGATTTGAAACGAGTTGGAGACCAGCTGGTGCTGTGAATAGTTTATGTTCTTTAGGTCAAACGAGGCCGAATGGATGTCAATGCGATGGCATCTCTCATGGTCTCCACCCTGCTTTTCGTCCTCTTCATCGTCATCGTCGGTATCATCCTCCTCTTCTGCCCGTAAAGCTGCTGACTGCGACTCGCTGCGGAATTCAACGAGCGAGTCCTCTTCCTCATCGTCGTCGTACTCCTCCCGTATATTCCTGAGTGATGATTCGCTGGGTAAATGAAAGTCGTGACTGCAAGCCGTGCTATTAGCTGCATCCGAAGCCCAGGACAAGAGCTCCTGATGGCGTTTATGCTTTAACTGTTCCGCCAACGAAGGCATAGTACTATCGTCCGGAGTCTCTATCTGGATCGAGGTTGAGAGTTCGTGGGCGAGCAGCTTGCGATCCTCTTCTTCCTGCCAACCAGTCGGCGGAGTCTCGGTCCAGGACTGGAAGTTTAAAATTAACGAGTATTATAATAAGACTATATTTAAGAACTGAATTTCAACTTCTAACTTTATATAAGAACTTACATGAAAGTATCGCACGATGTTGTGGTGCTCACAACTGGCCAACGTTCGGGCCTCACGAAGGACCCGCTGTCTTGAAGATTCCTTATTGGGTAGCGTTATGCGCTTAATCGCGTACCGGTTCTCATCAAGCTTGTTCTTAGCTTCAAAGACCACTCCAAAACCCCCGCGACCGAGGCACTGCATCAACTCGAAGTCGGACTGAAAGCGGGAAGTGTAATGCTCGCCTGAGTGACTTGTGGACTCCGAAATGGTGCGTTGATTTTCACGTCCATGCGGGAAGCTAAAACGATTTCCAGGTCGCTGCATCGGAACCACGGGACCAAGTAAAGCCTGTGTGGATGCTTCGGTGGCCTCGATGGCTGTCTGAACGGGAACATGACGTTCAATGACCAGATACTCTGTTTCCACGCGTTGGTTTCGTTGTCCCATAAAAATATTAAGGATTACGGCCGAGGTAAATGCTATGACCACGATTTCTTTCCACCAGAACCATAACGACAATATCACAACCTTTACAGGCGCATCGATGTCGTCCAAACTAAAGCCCAAATCGTCGTTGATGCTATGGTTGCCAGTAGCTTCCGTTCCTTTAGACGTGGCATTGGTAGACGATGTGGGAGCTGTGATTGCTGGGAGGTCAGTTGCAGTATTCTGCGTACCGCACTCTTGCGGGCCCTCCAGTTCGCCAGTGGTGTAGAAGTAAAAACCATTGCCATTAACAAACTCCGATGCATTTAATACGGACTGCGCTGCTACATCGAAGTTGTGATCATCATATGGCACAAGTTCTCCTCCTTGGGTACCAGTTCCCTCAGCAATAATTTCTGGGTCCTCCTGATCTTTTCCGAAGATGACCAACGAGTTGCTACTGGCAGCTATCGGCTTCCAGGGAATCTTGGGCATTAGGTTGGTGTCGCCTGTAAGCTGCTGATATACCTTTGTCTGGTCCATAATCTCCTGACGTAGACGGATTGACTCCTGAATATATAACTGCTTATCGTACATGCCCAAGTAGATGGATGGCGGGCTTTGTGGCGCATTGGGCAGCTCCTTGTCATTTTGGTCCTGGTCCCAAAGCCACTGGGCCGAGCTAAACAAATCAATAGGATTCAATTCGTCGACGGCATTCGTAATCCAGGCACTGACAATTGGGTGATCGAACTAAAAAGGAGAAAGAATTAAGTAAAGTTGTCTTTAATATTAAAGCTATTACCATTTACCTTGTACTTCCATAGCATAGTCTGTGGCTCACTCTTGCTAAAGGCGCAGATTATTCCCTCGGGCACTACCACCTTGATGTCCACATCCAAAACAGCCAGCTCCAGCTCATCGCGCGGCTGCAGTTGGCACTCTGAAGGTCTTACCAGATCCAACTCATGCTGACCTACGCTAAAGTTCCAACGCTCCATTCCGGTCCGGGATTCCACAGCCCGAACCGTCTGCGTCTGGCGGCGGATGATAATAACGTCGTCTAGAAGGGGATCATGGCGCACTATGTAGCCGGCCTCGTCCCGTAACTGGTCCCCGTCCTCCAGCTGATCCTCATCAGGGGGCTCCCTAATGGTGTCGTCAATTGCAAGTCC